CTCAAAAACACAACTGCTAAAAGTCATGAAATTCTAGGAGCACTTCAAGGTGAAAGAGTCATTGTCATGTAATAGTCTTAAATTATATTATAGGTAATGTATTATTTGCATGGTGAAAAGTGGAATTTCAAAATACAGTACATTATTTCTTTCCATATAAATATTGTATCCTTACATATAAATGCTGAATTGTGATGTTTTGAATTAATTTTTGCAGCCCAGCAGCAGGAAAATGAACTAAATTATGCTGCAAAAAATTGCCCATAATGTTATGCGTGATTCAAATTTTGTAGGGTATTTACAGACGAATAACGGCATTTTAGGTAATGTCCAAAGATTATTGTTGTATTACAGTGTGTATGAAATGCTGAGGAATCGATAACGTTTTTGTTGTTTCTAATAAGCAACTCCAACCCAGATTTCAACAGCAGTATGAAAACACTGTCTGTCTCCTAATGGGAGAAAGGAAAAACCGCACTCCGTATCAAAATCTCTAAATTCTATTCTTCTGTGTAGACCAAGTACTACTTATCCTGGTATTGTTCAGATTAAATTGTCAAGGATATGAAGGGCTAGGTGATGGAGCATGTGCTGTAGGAGGTCTCCAGTGTCAGAACGTGACTTCCATCCAGGGGACCCACTCATTAATGTTCTGTAAACCTTCTCCGGGGCATTTCCATATGGGGTGGGGGGGATTAGTGAACACTCAGAGGGGATCCCATTACCACTGAATGCTGCCTTGCTCTGGCTGTATCAGAGCAGGCTGAGCTCTCCCAGGATCTCCTTCCTGTGGGGCTTTGTTTTAGGGCCTTGCTCCCATATGCGCGGCTGGTGCTCTGGACTGCAGGTCTTGTAAAGGAGATCAAATTTTTACACTTTGCTTTTAAGGCAGGAGCTAAACAAAGACCCTCACATGAACGATACTGATTAGCTAATCATTTAGGTTAGCTGGGTTTGCAAATTTAGCATTAAGCGCTGTTATGTGCCCAAACTAGGATTCTGCGTTTGTCTTTGTGTCTGTGAATCTCTGCCATGTTTCCTCCCTGGGGTCTGGTTGATGCGGGAGCTGTTCATATTAATGTTTGTGAGTATGAGAGTATTCCCTGTGTTGAATTGGCATGTTCTCCATGATGTGCTTCTGCTTCACACAGTGTAATTTCCAAGATAGACTCCACACTGTAATAACGGGGACTACAAGGCAGATCGATTTTTAGTGTCATTTCTGTACTTTAATGACCCTATAAAGCATTGAGTTTTAAGTTAAAATGTAAACCCTGTTCAGTGTGCATAACAATGTACACACTTTACATAATAATTAATAATTCAGACAGCAGAGATGTGTTACTGAAGACCCTTCCGTTTAAGGAACACCTCTACTAACCTGCGCCATGTTGGTTCGCCGAATGCTCTTAGTGCTGCCCTTTGTCTGCTTATTTGAAAAGTTGTCTTATGGGATTCTTGCTTTGTTTGAAAGATGTTCTACAGCTTCTGACGGAGAATCGCTAGAAGCTGAGCCCAGCTGCACTTACGCCTTGGCGACTCCTCGACAGCCGTATGTTAATGTGCTATTTGCCTCAGTTATGTGTCGGTTTGGACAAAAGTGTCTGCTACGTAACATAAGAGCAGTGAAGGAGTTGGGGCCTGTAAGTGGTGAGAGGGCTTTCGGCTGGAGTCTGTCATCGTGTGCTGATCCCCTCTGTGGCCAAGTGTGCAGCACAATGCGAGGCCCGTATCCATCAGAAAGCAGACCTACCACATTATACTGGGAAACGTCACAGGGGCATTAGCCTGTTTCCTCGTCTCCCCCAGATCATCTGAACACATCACAGGCAAGGTGATTGATTGTGGAAATATCAGAGTCTGCTTTCCAGACCAGCTAGAAACAATGTGTCTATTGTACAGCCTTGTTAAGTTATTGTTTTACCACATAGCAACAAGCAATTTTTTTGTTATTCCACATTTTGGGCTATAGTGCAATACTATTCATGTATTTAAAGTTTGCATTAATTTAGCAAATGCTTTTCCCTATGCTTGTAGAATGTATTATTATATTAATTATCTCTAACCAGTTGATTAGTAAGCATCAAATTGCAGCTTACTCTCAGTTGGTAATATTTGCATTTTTGATAAATTTAGTACACATAAATAAATTTAAATCAGGATTTTCTTTTTGGCAAATACAAAGTGAAAAATACATTAGTAAATACAAATAATAGTAAAATAAACAGTGTTAATTTAACGTTTCTCTTCATTGGTGAATGGCCATGTGTAGAATTGCATCATGAACAGGAGTTCCAGTCAAAGTTGGCTGGATTTAATCATATCCCAGAAGTCTGGCTCAGGTTTTTAAGGGATGGCTGTCTCTCTGGGCTTGGCAGGTCTGCAGCACATCTGGGCCAGGTCTTTCTTAGAAGAGTCCCCACCTGCCACTCACAAAAACAAGCCAGCAGAACGCAGGAGGACCGACCCCCGCCTGCTAATTAAGGGCCCTGGTCCCATGGATTTGATGCTTTACGCAAGCCTCACAAAGAGATGAAATAACTGAAATAGAATTTGAAATGAAATTTTGGGGCTCCATTATATAGTACTAAACAGAGTGTAAATGGGAACCTTAATCATCCCCCAACCTGAGGACCATGCAGTGATGTGGACATATCCCTGCCTTAGCATCTGCTCTCTTCTGGCTCTGTCTTCCTGACCTGCAGGTCAACAATGTTCATGAGCTACATGAGTTGTGTTTTCACATGCAGTATGTTAGTATGTTCAGTGTGATAGCTGATAGCTTAAAATAGTGATAGTTTAAAGCAGAAAATCCCATTGTGAAATGTATTTATTACCCTGTTCATGGTTGAGAAGTCACAGTTCACACTGCTGACCGGGTGGTTGACGCGGCATATTTTCCGGCGCGTTGGTGGGAGTGTGCTCACCTGTGTGTGCGTGCACGTGTCTGTGTGCGCGCATCAGGGCGGAACTCCGCCATGCGTGATACAGAGAGCAGAGGAGGATTGTAAACGCGCGACCGTGTAGAGACAGAAATGACAAGCTGTTGTGTAAATAACATAAATAACATAAAGCTATTTAGTTTGTTTAATAAAAGGACAATTTATAGACCTATTCTATAGGAAAGGTGACCTTAAATGACTTTGGTTGTGATCTGGCGCTATAAAATAAAATTAAATTTGACCTTCAAGGGGGGGGCGGGGAAAAATGAAGGGAAAAAAAATTGTAATAAGTAATAATAATGGATGTGTGGCCAAATGGAGGCCCAGTCTTTAATTGCATTCAGTGGTAAAGCGCCCTTATGCATTATTGGAAATGTAGATACTCTCAGAGTTTGCTTAACTGTCTTTGGACTGCAGGAAACCGCAGTACCTGGAGAAAACCCAGCATACAGAGGACACACAATCCCCCCCCCCCCCCCCCCCCCCCCNACATATACACACACACACTCGGGATCAGTGCTCTGGAAAGCTTGGCCTTAATATCCATCCATTTTCGGAAGTGCTTGGAAGATAACATGTGTTTATCTCAAGGGTACTGCTGTATGAGCAATTATTCACTGCGGAAGAGCCAATGCGTTAGTAGAAACTGCATGCATAAACCAGGATGTGTTCAGGATGTAATAAAAAAATTTTTAAAGTTAACAAAACAGATAAATGAATAAACAGATGCGCTGCAGATGAACCAACATGTGGCAATTTAGAGTTTTGAGTCCAATGTTAACAATATGTTACTATGTCAAAAAATACACCTATCACTTTTGTCTCACACCTCCAGTGTTGGGGGTTTGAATCCTATCTGACGTCTCGTATTTTGTTTGGTTACTTATGGTTAAGGTTAGGGCTGGGTAGGGGTTATGGTGTTATGTTGTAATTAGAGTTTTTCCCCCATAGAAATGAATGTAGAGTCCCCTCAAAGATATAATTACAAACCTGTGTGTGTATATGGATGCGCACTATATCTGCGAGGGACTGTTGATCTGTGAAGAAGGCCATCTTCTTGGGCATAGTCTGTCCATTGGGTCTGAAGGGCTGGGAGGCACTTATGTAAGAGTGACTTTCCTAGCTCTTAGCTGATTAGAGGTCAACCATTTTGGGTTAAAGGTATGAGAGCAACCTAAGGACCAGTCGGTCACCTTGTGGCTAATACTATTGACCCATTCTTATCTCCGGGGAAGCCTTACTCACTTTTACAGTGCACAAACTGACATGATATGGTCTAAATAAAGAATGTGTATACAGGGCCGTGATGAAGTATTTGGAGATAAGAAACAGTTAAGTGTTACGATTCAGCAAAATAGAGGGAATGAGCAAGGAGGCAAATACTTTGTCGTTGCTCTGTAGCATTGGCCAATACAGATGGTTCAACTTAGGATATTTTGACTTTACAAAGGTGCGAAGGCGATGCACATTTAGTAGTCATCAGGCTTTGAATTTTGATCTTTTTCCGGGCTAGCTATATGTTGTACGTTACATTCTACTAACACCGTACGATGGTAGTATCCACGTAGCCGCGCTTCCTGAATCTGTTCGTGAGCGTAAGTTCGTGAGCGTAAGTTCGTGAGCGTAAACGACTCATACAGTATTTAATAATATATCAAACATGTTTTTAAAAGAATCCTGTTTGATTTATCATATTCATATTCGACATACCATATTTTCAGTTTAGGAACGTAACCCCATCATAAACCGAGGAGCATCTGTATATGATATGTTCTATGGGCACTAACTGTGTATTCACTTAAAGTCTGGGTGATCTGCAGCTATGATGTATAGACTTCAAGGCAGGATGTTAGTTTAGCATGTTAATGTCATTTACAAATGTGTAAGCATCATGCCTAATGTATTAGCATATTCAAATAGCAGTATGTCAAAGTTCTCAGTATGTCACTGTGATTCTGGGAAGCTGGTCCACACTGCCAGACAGGACGATTTCGTGTGTGAATATGAGAATGAAGTACAGCTTATTCTGTGTTTTTTTCCCCTTTTTTCTCCTTCAAGTTTAAGCTTGGAGTTGTGGAACTGCAGACCATTCCAGATCCCGTGGACGTAATCAAGGACCTCATCAGCCATGGTCTGGAGAGAAGCACCGAGCTTCAGGCCAGAAACAAGCAGCTGCAGGAAGAAAATCAGCGACTGAGACAGGAACAGGAGCACATCACCTCCGAGTAGGTGACTGTCCAGCCCCCTTATAGGGCAGGTGGAAGACCTCCATCACCAGTAATGGCCAATGGGACTTCATCCCCACTAGTTTGTAAAAACTATGCACATAATACAGTTTCAGTGCTTTTGTTTTATTTTTAATTTTAAGAAGTGTCATTTAACTGTATGGGTGCCCAGTAGATTGTTTTGTAATTAAAAATACTCTTCAATCAGTTTTGACACTCTCCGCCATCTTGGTTCACATCACTGCCTTGTTTTATTTTGCAGGTTAGAGAGGTATGTCCAGGGCAAAGAGGTCCTGGAACGAGAGCTCTACACTCGCTTTGTCTTAGTGCTTAATGAGAAGAAGGCGAAGATCAGAAACCAAAAGGAGAACATTAAGAACTTGCAGGAGGAGCTGGAAAAGAATGCGCTGAGGTAGCACCATGTGATATATACCTGAAATATATCGGAAAAATACAGCTACATCAAGTGCAGTATATACTGATATATTGTGTGACAGGAACACCCCCCCCTCGTCTCTTTACTATGAAGTGCTCTATTCAAAACCAGTCCTTACTTTCCCAAAGCAAAACCCACCAGCTATATGTGAAGGAAAATGTATAATAATCAATACATATTAAAAAATAACTGCATGGCAGTGAGACTTCAGGATCTCAGAAGGGCATGTTCTTTTCAGTCAGGAGAGATTGATGAATGTTTTATATTTACCAGTAACTTATAACAGAAATAGTCTACAAAGAAAGTTCGAGCTGATGGTGCCCCATCTAGATGTAGATATTGTTCCCAAACAGCAACATGAACACTGCAAAGCAACACAAAAAAACACCAGTGCTGTCCAGCAGGATCTTGCAGCCATCAATAGACTGCTAATGTCCGTCTTCAGACATCAGCAGTATGGCAGCGGATGAATTGAAGTGACCCTTATGGGAAGCCTGAAGAAACGTTTGTTCTCCAAAACAACAGCGCTTCTTTTTTCTATTAAGCAAAACCCACATTTAGCTCCGTGGCAGCGGTGTGCTTGTGATGCATTGTCCACTTCACTTGTATATCACTTTGGACAAAAAGTCTTTGCTAAATTCATTAGATGTAAATGCAGAAGACCACCTGTATGCAAATTTTTAAATGAATTTTTGGCCACCACAAAAGCACTATTTTTTGAGAAAATCTATGACTGCCTACCTCCGAAAGCAGATGATTCCAGCATGGTGTGGTGATGGGTGTGTCTAGGGTGACCTACATCACACACCATTAATGAAACCAGGTATTTATACTTTATACCATGGATTCATGAGTCACACCAAAATATTTTGGGGGAAAATGTCAAACACTCAGCCTCTGACTCAAAGTTGTACCAAAAATAGGTACTATAGCATGACAATAATTTATTTCAGCAAATTTACCAAAGAATGGTTTAAGACAAAATGTCTTTGTTTTTGTAACTGTTGAATCAGAGTTTAGACTTCAGTCCAAAAGAAATGCTGGGCAAAGCTTAAAGTAAATCGTTCCCATAAATTTAGCGCATTTTAAGTTGTTCAGAATGCAGTGAAGAATGATGTGTAATTAGTAACTATGGGAAACCTTTGACTGCCATTGTGGCAGATACGCTCTGGCTCACTGAATTCAAAAGTGTTTATTTCTTCATAGAATACATTTTGTGATTGTTTCTCAAGCACGTTGAATAATGAAAAAGATTTATTTGTCATTCATAAATAGTGTTTTTGGCAATCTGAATGTCCTTACCCTGGTTAAGTATGGAATTTAGAAGTTCCATTTAAGATATTATGGGATGGAGCGACATGGTCACTCAACAATAGCACTACAATGACTTTTGGGTGTTTTCTCTGGTGAATTAGTTGTTTATAAATTGCTTATAGTGTGTGATGCAATGTACTTGCATCCCGTCCAGAGTGTCCCCTGCTTTGAAAACTCTGCTTCCAGGCTTTACCCTCTACTGGATAAGTGATTTTGATGGATGGATGTATGGATGGATGGATATTATGAGGTTATTGACAGGTTAGGTGAAGAGCTGAAAGCTGTGGGAGTACCATTCTCTGTGCTAGTTTGGTGACATCCAATCATGCATGTGCTGATCTAGTGATATTCTTAGAAATTTTGTAACTGAATGTCTGTGTAATTTTTTTTCCACTCTGTTGTTTTGTAACCTAGTTATAGGTTACTAAGTGCTGTGCTTGAATTGTATATCTGTGTTCGTGATAACTTATGTTCCTTCAGATGACATGTGACTGATGAAAGTGTGTATTGGTTAGTTATATATTAATATACAGTTGGAATATCTATCCATTTGTTAACTGCTTATTCAGTACAGGTGAGGCGGTTAATCCATCATTGGTCACATACATATGTGTGTGTAAACTCATACACTACGGACAGTTTAGCGATTTACCTAAATGCCTTTATGTGGACTGTAGGAGGAAACTGGAGTACCTGGAGGAAAACTGTGAAAAACAGGGTGTGGGGTATATACCCCAAGAATGTATCTCTCTCTCACACACACACACACCCAGAAAAGGGTTTTTCTAAGGAGGTATTCAAGCCACAGACTTGGAGATGATCAGGGTTGCTGCTTCATGCCTTGGCACCCTACCTGTATGAAGATCATAAACAGGAGTATAGAGAAGATGCACCCTTACAAGAGGCCAAAAGCCACTCTAAACGGCTTTACGTTTGTGCCAAGAGGGCAGACAGAACTCTCGCGTTCATTCTGTGATTATGTACCACAGGGTAGTGGACCTCTTACCTCATATTCTTTCAGGCCCCCACAGTAAGTCCTGAGGTTCATGGTCATTGGCACCTTTTCCAAGTCCACACAGTACATGTAGACTGTGTTGACATATTCCCACATGCCCTCACTCAACTGTGCCAAGGAGAAGTTTCAGTCCAATGTTCTGCCCCTTTGGTCCAAGCAGGATACTCTGCTTCTTCTTGGGACCGTTCGTCGGGGGTATTTTTTGGACCGTCGTTTGCCTGGCCCCTCCCCGCTGACCTGTTTAACAAGGGGGGCCCTATCAGGACTTTCAGCCCCAACATAACTCTGTGGATTGTTAAGGCACGTAAATCCCTCCCCCGGCGTCGTGATCCCAGAGGGTTTTACAGTACCTCTGTTGTCTTTTTAAAGCTACTGAAAGCAACATCAGAGCAGGAGGTAATATTTTCATGAAGTTAAGTCCAGTTGTGGTGTACGGGAGCATAGTTTTGTTGTGAAATCTGCTGACGTGAATACAGAACAGTTTAAATTTCTATAATCCCATTTATAAATAACTGTTATGGTCAGCTGCAAAAAGTGGGTATGCCATGTAAATTGTGTAACTTGTGGATTAAGCACTAGCTGAACAACTGTAGAAGTAGCAACAAGAACAGCAGCCAATAACTACTACTATTACTACTACTGCTAATAATAATAAGTAGGTCTTTTTACCTAGTATTCTGTCTGATTGGCTAGGAGGGAGGCTGATCTGGCAAAGGGCAGGGCCCCTTCTGAGACTGCAGGGAGTCCATCCAGAGTGGACGACACCTACGAGGGCAGCACAGATGAAGAGCATTCTGGGAGCACCCACTCACCTCCAGCGCCGGGGCACCCCGTGGATGGTAAGATAAGGGCCCTTTGTCTTTCCCCCAGATAATTACCCCCAGATGCTGAAATAAATACCAATAAAAAAAAAAACAAATCTATATCTGCATGTATGGGGGTACACCACAAGAGAGACAAGCGTGCATTAATCATTCCCGTATGAACCATTCTCCTATTGCTCAACAAAATTGCAAACAGCAGTCAACTGTGGGCACTCTGAAGCCATCTTTGAAAAAGCGAGAGGGTTTTGTATTCCCGTGCAAACTATTGGGATCCATAATTGAGTTTACAATTAGCATTGCAGGGGGGTTCTGGTGTGCGTCCATTGTAAGGCTTTTTAACAATGCGGAGGATGCTAAACGGTTGATTTAGGGTTGGTCTAAATTAGGTTTTTAAATTATAGGCATCCCACAATAATGGGCCATTGTGAATAACCTTGTAAATTGTGAAGGATCACTAAGGGTTAAAACTCGTACTGGGGTTGGGGTTTATAGCTGTTTGCTTAGCGGTTTGTCTTTTCTATTTGACTGATACCACAGGATATAATATTTTCCAGAACACATACTTTTCACCTATTTGGCAATATTAAAATAGTTGTTTCTATTGACACTGGTACATTGTTCATATAATTATATAGCCAAGAATCTTCTATTAATTAAAGGCAATGGAAAACATCATCTGCATATAATTTAACTTAAATCAGAAGTAAATAGCTCAGAAACCAAAGCCCAGGTGAGAAGCTCGGTGAGGACCACTGGTTCTCAAACTTGATCCTGGCAGCCTACAGATCTATGCGGGGTGTCACTGTAGCCTACAGATCTATGCGGGGTGTCACTGTAGCCAAGCACGCGAACAACTGACTTGTTTAGCTCTCGGTTTGGGCTGGAGATGTTAGAAGAGAAATCTCAACATGGCTAGTGTAGGCCTTCTAAGCCAAAGGTACCTGCCATTATACCTTCATTCAGTACAGGCAGTTCCCAACTTGACTTCAGTACATATGGACTTGCGCAAACAATATCTGAGACGGTTATGGTTTAAGGAAGCATTAATGCAAAAAAGCCTGTAAGAAAATGTATGCTTTATCTTTTCATTTATTTAATGCTTGTTCTTTAGTACATATACTAGTAAATCTCTGGCTTATATGTTTTTTTTATTTCTAGCACTGGTCTTGAAGCGTATGAGAAAGTAAATCTGACTGATGTAAAATTTGACTTATGTCATGGTTTGTGGACCGGATTAGCGAGAAGTGCCTGTATACCTAAAGATGAGGGGTCACCTGATACGGGCCCATGTGCAGCTCAGTGAGTAACTAAATACATGCTGCATTAACAAAGGTGGCCTCTCTCTCTCTGTCTGTCTTCAGTCACGCTGTGGTTATTTTTGACTTTGGGTGTTTCCCTCGCTTGCGTCCAGTGAGCTTAGAATATGTAGACGCAAGTCATAAGGAATGACATCAACTCCACACCGATCATATGATAATTAATTTCTTGGATACTGTTTCCCCCCAAAGAAATATTGGCCCAAAGCAGCGCCGGGCTGCAGTGTGGAAACCTCCCAGATGTCGTCTTGAGTCAGTGCTGACGTCATGGCAAAAGGAAACGAGAGTATGGAACTGGTGCAATTTCAGGCCATTTTATGTTGCTCAATTTCCCCCTTTCTTCACTGTTAAGTCAGCAGCAAAGGACTCGCCTGAACACAAGCTGAATATCACTTTCCCATTACTGTAACATGTCTAATAAGCAATTCTCTGTCCTTTCTCCATCCTAATAAAAACAAATATCCCCATGAAAATCTGATTGTTTGTGAGGATTCGGTTTGATGAAAATTGTCTACCTCAGTCTCTTAACTGGTATAACTCAGAATTAATCCTTAATATCCGTCTTTGTTACTTTTTTTTCTTACTTTGTTATTTTCAGAATGTTTTTATAAGTAGAGGATTAAATGAGGTACCTAAATGAGGGCACTGTTGATGGTGTTTATGGGATGTAACAGGTTATCTGATCATTTTCTCATAACTGCTGCATCGCTTATTTTGCTGAATATAATGTTAGCACCCATCTATTCATCCACCCATCCATCTTCCATGACTGGAGCACATCCTCTATGGCATACCAGTCCATCACAAGGCTTGTTAGCACAATATTGAATCTGAATTTCAGATTATGTGATGTGTAATATCTGAATTTGAGATTACGTGATGTGTAATATCTGAATTTGAGATTACGTGATGTGTAATATCTGAAATGGCCCTGTTTTGAGTGTGGGGTTAGTGCAACATTATTTTGTGCCATTTTCCACTGGAGTATGATTTTACGTTACCATGGATTTTGACCTTCAACACAACTCCTCCAGCAAACTCCATCTGAATCAAACTGTCAGCCAAAAGCTGAAAGAAAATATCTTACAGAGTCCTCAGACTGCGTTTTTTTAAGGTAAATACATGTGGCACTAAATTAGCCCTCCAGGACTGGAAGTCTTGGAAAAAGAGCTCCGATCCTTCCAGAAACTCGCTGTGATTGATTGCCACCAGGAGGGAAATGCTCACTGTTTCATATGTAGTTTCAAAACCTTGACAATGACTCAGAGTCCCCTGAGTGTTGTAGTATTGGTGCGGAGCCGGGGGGGGTTAAGGGTTGGAAGATATGTGCGTGTGTGGGCAGCGGGGGGCTGGACTAGCAGGGGAGCATGAAGTGACTTACTTCCAACACTGCCTTGTTAAGACAGAGTAAGGCTGTACACACAGCCCTGCTTGGGCATACACTGCTGTGTATAAAAGGGACCTTCTCAATGGGAAGGACTTCAGGAGGCGTCTCGCTGATGTTCTCCATGGTAGCCAGCCATCCAGCCATCCGTGCCGTGTGTGGATTTAATGAAAGCTTCATTGATCACTGGACGTGTGCCATTTTCAGGAAATCGCAAAGAGGGTTTCTCGGGCCAAAACATTATCAGCTTGTTACTTTACAAAGTATATGTGATTGCCTTAATGAGAACACAAATATATTATCACATAACTCCATAAACTGTTTTTCATTGGTAAACTGCCTCCAGCTGCCCCAGTAGGACATAGGAACAACTTTGATTCAGGCGATTGGACTCTCTACAGATGTCTGCACCGCTGTGCCATTTCTCCCCATTTGCTCTGGATGACATTAATACTGACATGCTGCGTCTTTGATGTTGCTTATTTTTTTTTGTTTTTTTGGGAATATTTTTATGGAGCCAAAGTAACATTCATAAAGACGGGGCCTACAAAATCACTGACATGTGACCCGCGAGGCTGAAATTGCAAGATGGTGGCTGTTTAATGACTTAACATGATGTAATTATCACTGTTGTTCATTGATACATTATGTCAAGGGTCTTAATGATGTTCTGTTTGCGTCACACTGTCATTTTTGGCAACTCAGGTGGCAGCATTGCCACTTGTACTGTGTGTTCTTTTTTCCTATTTGATCCTAAAAACATTGTAAACATTCTTCAAAAAATTCTGTTTTTTTAAGTACATATTTGATTTAAATTATATATTTAACAAGCCACTGTCATAAAAAAATCCATATTCATAGGGTTATGTAGTAATAATATTGATAATAGTATTTAGATCATTACTGTTCTAAGGACACTGTACCTCTAAACGATAAGCCCTGTCTGCTATAGCTTTTTCATCTCTTTTGTTGGGTAGTCCCAGTGCCAGTTTGTTCATGCAGCCTCGGGATACTAAAGAACAGGCCTGGTTACCAGTGAGTGATGCAAAATTTCTCAATAGGACTAAAAGTCCAGCTCACTTTTTCCCAGCCCCCCTGTGTAAGGAATAACCGATGTCATGTGGTAAAAAATAAAGTAAATGTTCTATCTGAAAGCCGACACCCATAACAGCATCTTGTTCTTCTTCCTGGTCTGAGATTTAAAAAACAGGCAACTCTGAGTAACACTGGGTGTGTAGCAAAAGCCATTATGTAGCCTGTGATACCGCTTAATTAGAGACACTATGGCCAAAGAGAAAATGTTTATGGCAGCAGGATTTAAGAGTTTATTACAAAAAGAGTAATTGCAAGCTGTTGAAAGGACTTGGGTGAGAGCAGGGTATGAAAATGAAGTCATATATTCCAGAGTGTCAGATGGCAGGGTGACTGTTCTCAGTTCAGTGTTGTCCCACAGGACAAAACCAGAGGTGGACTAGCTTTCATGTTTGATAGAACTAAACAAATAATAAAATGCATACATAAATTAAAGATCTTGGAAAAATAAACGAGCTGTTTGATCAGAATCTTTTGAAATATGCTGGTTATTGATTTACGCTTTTATTCTCCTGTGATATTGAAGCAGCGAGACGTTTCCATGTACAGAACATGCAATTTTTTTCAGCACTTGATCATTAAAGATGCTACTGTAATTTAATTCAGTCGTATTATTTCTGTAGCTACCACTTGTCCCAGAATAACCCAGTCAGGTTACTTGCAAGGTTTGGGATGGAGTGGAGGCGTCAAAATCATGATAAGTTGGAGCTTAAGTCACATATGTCAATAAAATTCAACCCTGTGTCTGCAGTCTACTATAGAGATTGAAGAATATAAAGTTACTGTATTTCTTTACATATATTAGTTGTTCTTCCACATGAATCCTAATAAATATGCTTTCAGTAGATTTGGATTCTAGTTGTAGTAGCCCACCAATAATAGGGTGTATAATTGCCTTAATTTCAGTGCAGCCAATTTAACAACAGATAAACTCTCCTATTGTAGAAACTGACAGCTCATTTAAGAGGCTGGGAATCTCAAGCAGACTTTCCTGAAGGGCACACTGTCAAATCCTAAGATGACAATGTCCGTTTCTAATTAAACAGATTGTATTGAGCTAGAATGCAACTAAAATCAGCGCATCCATTCTACTGGAATTGAGCTGATTGTTGTAATTGCTGTATGTAGCCATGTGTGAAAGCAGACTTGTTGGTTATGTAGTAAACGTAACAGGCGAATGTAATGAGTGACCTAACCACGGCGATGACATTCCTGCCTCCTGCTTTCTCCCTGTGTGTTGTGCAGGAAAACCTGGCCGTAGTTCCTTTGATGACAGCCTGACTGACATTATTGATGTTGCACCTTGTCGCAAACGTCGACATCGACATCTGCAGAATCCCCAGGTAGAAGTCAAGAAAGTATCTGAAGAGAAACAAGAAAGGAAAAGGTACGACTGATCACATATTAATAAATTATTTCAATTATTAAAACATTTACATGTATATGCCCCTTACAATCTAAGATTCAGATAATCATTTTTCAGCAGAGGTGGAAATTTCAGGTCCAGAAAGTACAAGTCCAGATCAGGATTTTGTTTCAACCAACCAGTGGAGTACTCTGTAACTGTGACTCTTTATGCTAAACTGGTTGGTTGAAACTAAATCATGGTCTGGATTTGTACTTTCTGGACCTGAAATTTCCACCTCTGTTTTTCAGATTATAATTAAATTATAATGCATTAAAACTTAAAAGCAGCATGTCACCAGCTGTCTGTTGTGCCTTCTTCCACCTAACATACAGTATATAGGCTGTGTTTAATGTGTCCTTGTACAAGACACATTTCTCTGAATTTTTCATCATCACCGAAGGCAGCTAACATTAGTGTTGACTGTGCATTGAACATTATTAGTCTGTCAAAACAACCCAAAGTTAAAAACAAACCTGTTACATTGCAAACAAACCCAGAACATATATCTCCACATTGAAGACTTTTATTAGGTCTTTGTTACAGTTTGTTAGAGTGCAGTGACTCACCATGGTCGTGCTATTCACGTCATCTGCCCCGTTTAAGTTTACGGTTATACCTCCCATTCATCTCGGCTTGCCATTTTCCCATGCTAAGTGGTCATACTTTTTAAAATGTTTTCTTGGGTGTATACTTTATTGAGGTGGAGAGGTCTGTTTAGTCTGTTCATTTTTAAAAAAATGTCAGTTCATGGAGTCTCTGACATATGGAAAACATTATTTGAGGTGAACTTCCAATCTTTTATAATCAATCTTTTCTCTGCTGTGGTCTGCTCATTTTAGCAACTCCCAGTCCACCTGGTAAATCCCCCGGTACGGCATTTCATACCTATGATGTCGCTTCCTTTCCACGCGCAGTAAGCTTTTGGGTGTGTGATTTTCTCTGCAATGAAAAATGGAAAAGATTTGAGCATGTTGTCCGGATAATGGTATACATTGTATTCTGGTAGACATGAACAAGAACTGGAAGAGAGTCCCACAATCCCAAAAAGACATTCTTGGTGCCCCAGAATGAAAACAATGTACCGACATCATGTAAGAGAAGCATAAAACATCCAAGCATCAGTGTAAGCCTTAATTAGGGCTGTTTTTAACCTGTGTTTGTTGACTTTCAGTAGACTAGTCAACAGATGTGTGTAGTCTTCATCCCTCCTGAACTGGTTATTATAAAGGGTGACTTAAAAGTTGGATCTTTGGTTAGTTGGTTAATAAATGGATGAGTTAGAAAATTGTTTCATATAGTCCCTGAATCTCAGCAAAGGAACCGTTTTACTTAAAATATCATTTACATTTAGTTTATTTAGCTGGCGCTTTTGTTTTACGTGATGTACAATTGAGGCAAATAGCACATTACAAGCATACTGCTGTATTTGTAAAATTTGACTAGGCATAAGTGCAGCTAGGCTGAGCTTCCAGTGAATGTCCAGGCACAAGGGTTAGCAGTATTGGAGCAGAAGCTACACAACATCTTCCAGATAATGCAAGAATCTAATAAGACAGCAATTCAAATCAGCAGACAGAATGCAACACTATGAGCATTCAGGGAACATGCAGTGGTGTAGGCCAGCAGAGGTAATCGTAGAACCACACGACAATAGGAGGCTCGCTTGTTAAAAACAGTTCATGGGCTGTGGCTGCACACATATAATCCTGAACCGCACCTTCAGTCCACCATATGGGAATCGTATGACAGTCAGATATCATGTAATGCAGTACTTTGTTAAAATTTTATTTTCAGTATTTAATGAACAACAGTATATAAATTAAAAATGTATATTAGCGTATGTCCATTACATGGTACTGGGCCACGGTGAGCCACTAACCTCTTCCAGGAAACCTGGGGCTCTAGTGGCACGAGATGCAAGGTATTATTATAGTAGATTTTAATGCTGCTTAAATAATAATTCTATGTACTTTTATTTTATGTTATTGGGAAAGGTATAGTGTAGGTGTGCTGGTAATTTGTGTTCTGTAACTTGAATGGTTCTGCAGGCATCCTGTACTGCTGTAACGCTCCCGTAAGCCTATAGGGAAGGGCGAGCCGCCGTGACGCTCCCGTAAGCCTATAGGGAAGGGCGAGCCGCCGTGACGCTCCCGTAAGCCTATAGGGAAGGGCGAGCCGCCGTGACGCTCCCGTAAGCCTATAGGGAAGGGCGAGCCGCCGTGACGCTCCCGTA